AAAAATACAAAAGCTACAATAATATCATCCCCAAAACTATGAAAAGAAGCTGGTATATCGACCAATCTGGCGATCAGAGGGTATCAAATCAAGTAGACCCATAATTTACCAAACAAAAGGGCGTGCCATGTTGTTGAACATTGATTATAAGTTTATAACTATGGACCACATAGAGTTACACTAGAGTCCGTCGCACATTAACAAACACATACTCAACTTCACCTACATTGGAGATGAGAATCTTGAAAAACATAATTCAAAATCTACATTCTTAAACTATTTGCAAACTAAAACACCTTATAAGAGATTCTTGACAATCCATAACAAATTTAAGTTGAAGACAAAGCTGAAATCTTGCGAACCTGACAAATACCTTGAAGGATCACAAAGTGGATACATGAATATACTCGCAAACAACGCCCGCCGTGTTGTGAAAGGAGCAGCCTCGCTCACCAATGGATCGAAATCCTTGCTCAGTTCTTGAACACTACTAAAAGGGTCAAAAGGACAAACATAAATTTTCCAACCAAACAGCAAAAAACCAGAGACTAAAATCATATGATACAACATAAAGATGCACAGAGAAACACATGGGTGCAAATGACAAATATAACTAAAACTGGGAAACATTTAAAAAAATGAAATTTTTTACAATGATATGAACACCCAGTAATACGAAGCACAAGATTTACCATAATGCGTTTGCATGAGGAAACATAAAAGCTCGGCTACACATGAACTTATGTAGAAAAATAACTAAAATTGAAGAAAATTTGAACGGAGGGGAAAGGAACCTTTGAGTGGGAATAGAGAAGGGAGGAACGGCGCCGTCTGAGGAATGAGTGGGCCTGTTTGATTGAGAGTGAGAGCTGGCAGAGGAGACTCCATCAAAGCAAAGCTGTCTTCGGCCTATCAAACGGTTCTTGGGAGTGCCCAACCCCAATGCATTAGATTGCACAGGACAAGAATTGCATGCTAACACTTGCATTGTTTTCACTGCTGCAAAAATTGATTGAACAGCTCAAAATTCCAATGGGATAAAGAAAAGACCAAAAAAGGTCAGTGGAACGGAAGCCTCTGTGTCGGAGACTCGGAAGTTCGAAGTTGGGAAGAGGCAGAATAGCAGGAGGGAGGGAGGGGGGATAAGGGTAGGGTGGGTTGGGTTGGGACTGAGACTCACTGGTCACCACTGACATGGTACGATTACCATTGTACCCTCCTCCCTCTGTTTCTAAAATGCTCAAATCGTTTTAGTTTAACTGCTTTGCTTTGTCAAAAAAGTACATAAAAGAAATTTGTAAAGGCAGTGTACTTCGTTTTTTATCATCTTTCGTTCTGCAAACAATTTGAGGAATTAAACTTTGCAGATTTTCAAGAGTCGCTTGTTTGTCTCTCATCATTTCCTTTTGTTTTATGAAGGAAGCTGCGTGCTTTTCTTCATTACGTTAACACTTGACCCAAAAAGGTTCGGAGGAGTTTTCGGAGAACCTCCCTCCGGCTCTGGCTTATCGAACAGAATGCTTGTTAATTACAAAAAAGTACTAGTTGTATTGGCATGCGCATTTTGGGTATGTTGAATTCTCATGGTTACGAAACTCAGACTTACAGAACAGAGTGAGACTTCGTTAATTACAAAGAAGTATTAGTAGTATTGGCATGGGCATTTTGGGTACGTTAAATTCTCATGGTTACGAAACTCAGACCGACAGGTGAAAAACAGAGCACGACCGAGAGTTAAGGTGCCAAATGCAAATAAATCATGAACCCCCAAGCTTTGCCCATGAAGATGAAAACCAAAACGCATAATTATCACATAACAAGAAAACAGGCAACTGACTTGTCATTGATATGAAATTCCCCAGTGACCAAAGTAGCAAAATAACAATAAAAGCATTCCCAATCTAGCTCCAAATTCATTAATCAACAAAATCTAACGTCAAAATCTCGCTCAAGCATATCGTCTTATAGTTCAAAAGGCTAATGATCCGTCACTCTGCCTCATTAGGCTATTGGCCTCATTTAGTTCTTGCCTGCCTGCTTTTCCTTGGCCTTTTGGATCTTCAGAACCTTTTTCACGATCTTTTGCTCTTCCACCAAGAAAGCTCGAATGATTCTACATCAAATTGAAAAATAAAAACTCAATGTCATGCCTGGATTACTAATTTACAAGTATATAAGAAATATACAATAATAATGGTAATAAAAAAAAAATGCAGGAGCCCAGTGCGAGAATGATTACAACTCATTTACCTCTCTCTGACAGCCCCTCCAGACAATACACCACCATAAGCCCGATTCACAGTCCTCCGGTTCCTGGATAGTCTAGACCTCTTGTACTCTGCAGGTCTCAAGTGAGGAATCTGCATAAGAACCAAAATTGTTAACCAAAATTCATACAATAAGAAATAGTCATTACTGATCACACATTGTCAAGCACATGAAAAAAAAAAATCCAAACTTGCCAATGAACTTCAATATAAATGTACTAGTCTAGAAAGTAGGAGCAACATAACAGCAAATAAATACAACCCACAACACGAAAATTGCAAATATCATATAAAGCAAGATAAATTATAAATGAACAAATATAGAACCTATTTGTCAAAAATCCAACTCGTTTTCTTGTTGTTTGGATTATACATTAAAAAAACTAGTTATATTTCAAATGATTTCTATAGAGATGGAACAACATATACAAAGCCTACCCCATTAGAACAATACTAAGCCAGATTCAGTGCTTTCATCAAGAGTAAGAGCACATGTAAGAGCCTGGCTCATTAATTACTATAACTACACCAACAGCCCCTACAGGGAGCAAGAGATACTGTATACAAAGGTAATGCATATATAACGTATGTGTTTCTAGGAATTCTTGTACAAACATATGTTTAGGAGTGTCAAGTATGTTAAATTCAAAACTTGGATCCAAAAGAAAGGGTGTGTCACAAATGTACCAGAATCAGACCTATTATGAAACCCTGCATTTGGAGTACATGATCCAATACTACTCCAAAGTAGCCTATCATCGATAGATTACATCTATGCTTAAAGCAATTAATCACCAAAACAACAACATTATACACAATTTCAACGAGCCAAAGCAATCATCCATCAACCAAATACAACCACACATTCTCACATTCTGACCATAAATCTAACCTAATAACTCAGCCAAACAAAAACAATACATACATATGCAGATATTGAACAATCACAAGAAAGAGGAGACATACCCCTTGGATTCTCTTGCCAGTAACAGGGCATTTTGGACCGCTGGCTCTCTTCTTGGTGGTCTGATAAACCAACTTACCCCCTAATATTCACAACCCATAAAATCAAGTCAGCTAACGCAACCAAAACGACGTCTTAAAAAACCAGAATAACCAATTGAACTTTCATTCAGATTTCAGTAGAAAAATGGTCATTGCTAACGATGAAAATAAACATACATACCGGGGGTTTTGACGATGCGGTGCTGGTTGGATTTGGTGGCGTAGCTGTGACGCGTTCGGTATGTGAGCCGCTGCACCATTTTCGAGTGCTCGTTAAGCTCAGGTACCTCTGGCTTTTAGTGCGACGGACTACAACAAAAAGGTTGCGAAGGGAAGAAGAGAGACCTTAAATAGGGTTCTGAAGGCTATGAAGCCCTAGATCTAACGGTTGTGGCGAGCTTTTGGTATTGGACGGTGAGGATTTATGTGAAGATAAGTTAAAATGTGGACGGGCCCAAAAGCAAACAAAACCCACTTGGAAGGGAAGGGCCTGAGCCTTGTGTTTGTTTTTTTTAGGTCTGAAGGGAAGGGCCTGAGCCTAGCCAACTCTACGCTGGTCGATAACGACGACACAGCCCATTGGGCACTCTGGTGTAGACCAAAACAGCATCCAATTTCTTCCTAATTTTTTGTTATAAACGATATTCTACTGAAATCAAATCTAAACTACGGGAAGTGGGGGATTCGAATTCGGATATATAGTGAGGAGCACATTTATCCGCTCTAGCCAACTTGGGTAAGCCTATATCTGCAATTTCTTCCTTATTTAACTTGAGCAAAGAATTGGCAATTATAATGTATGGGAAAAGAAATAATGATAATGAATAATTGCTAACTTTTTTCTGAGAAAATAAATAATTATTTATTATCATTATTTATTTTCCCATACATTTACGAGAGAATTTCTTTTTCTATTAATGGGAAAATAAAAATGAAGCACCTAATAATATATCCTCATAAATTAAGACCTACGAGATTGCCCCTTTTATTATGGGGTGACAAAGCGATTGTATCATTCGATTGTTTTTTTCATGCTTTTTCAGAGGCATGAAGAACGCTGCAACATTGGTATAGATGGTTTGTTCGTCAATTTGAAAGCCTAATCGGCATGGATTGGTAAAGATTTAGATACTAAATTCGAGTTTCAATGTGAACAACCAACTAGTTATTATATTATGATATTTCTATTCACACTATTGGAAGAAGTACTAAATTCTAAATTTTCCTGAAGTGTGATATTCTAAACTATATTAATGTACGAGTATGATATTCAAACTAGAGTGCAAAGGGCCGAACACACAACCTTCCCCAGTAACCCACATTTGCCATGCATCTTAATTTGGAATTTGCAAAAGAAGAACCAAACCCACCAAGGTCAATTACTCAATTACCTAACAAAATAACCTCATTAAACTTGTTGTTAACTGCTTACCCACCCAGCACACAAAAATTCCACGGAATTTATTTTGCCCGGGGAAAGGGACACGAAGGTGAAAGAAATGACAGCATCATTGAAGTTTTGACCAAAACCAAAATGTTAATGACATCATACCTTACCAACAAACACAGCAAGGAAAGAGGTGTGGGGACCTTAATCTTCACATTGCACCTCCATACATATATTTTTATAACATTAATTTGGGATATTTACTTATTTATCAAGACTATGAAAATCATTGTGTTTTCCTTTTTATATATTTTCTTTTTTGATCAAATTTGGGTGGGCCATATATAATTATGATTCATTATGCCTGGGATCAAAATATACAGTGAGGAAAACTAATATTACTTGTTTGGTTGGACCAAAAAGAAAAGGAAAAGGCTAATTATTACTAGCATGGAAATAGCAAGAAGGAAGGATCTACACGAATCTTTCTGTTCACAAAATGTATCTTGCTTAACTTATTGTGACACCACACTAGTTGCTCTGTTGTTATACTGGACATGTTTAAAACCCTTGAAACTAATTTCATGTCAACTTGAGAGAAGAAATACAGGTGATCTGTGCCTTCGTCTTCATGCTTTCGGAATTTCTTTAGTATGCAGTTCCCACCCCTCAACGTGTCTTTAAGCTTCCTCTCCTTCTGCATTCATAAGCAAAACACATTAAAACTTTCGGAAATAAAACATACGCACAAGGGAGTTTAACAAGACAACATTTTTGTAGCTATAAAACGTACCTTGAGAAGATCTGTTTGGACCTCCGTTAAAAGCTTCAAATCGGAGTCTTGAAGTTCTTCTCGTCTTGTTTTTCGACACGCAATAGTACTATTAGCATTTTTATCGGCTCGAATGAATCGCCAAATGATCCTTATTGATTCTTCCAATATTTCCACCAGAATGTCACTTGTAATTGCATAAGCATCTTTGCCTTTCCTTCTTGCTTTCTTTTTATCCTTTAAATTGTCCCCTGCATGGTACACAAAAGTTTGAATTAGTCTCTCAAAATAAATCTTCAACTTCCATAAACTAAACAAAGAAGCATTTGATATAAAGTAATTGTCACCTCTGATCACTGGAACTTGAAGAAGATTGCGCATGACACATCGATTCTTGACATAATTTTCGACCCTTGGCCCTTGAAAACGTTCATTCTCTACAAATCTCTGCATGAGCACTTGAAACTGTTGGAATTCGTCAGCAACTTCATTGTACGAACGTATTCCATATGGATCAGATTCCCAAAGCTCAAAGGCCTTCTCATACTGCCATTGAAGGAACTCCCAAGAAAGGCACAGCTGCCCAACATAAACCACTTCCAAATCACCATGCAATTCTCTAATGAACTTGACCATAGGGTCAGAATCAGAATCAGAATTAGAGTCTTTTTTGCGTTTGCACCTCCAAAAGGATGAGACTGTTGGAGCTGAGGATGTGCATCTTGAAAACGATTGTAGTGAGTCCTTAGACTGCAAAAAACCTATACATTGGATTGTCATAAAATATATCAGAAATGGGATCATGTGAATTAAAAATTACAATAAGATTATAAAAAATACAGAGCAGATGTATTTGGCCACCTATGCATTTTAGAATTAACCCAAAAGTCAATTTAATTAACAATTACATAGTAACTTTTCATGGACATGAATTTCCGCAGCTTGTCTTCAGAAAAGAAACCAACAAAGAAATGGTGGAGCACTAAAGCAATCCATAATTAGACTGGTGGAGCTACTAAGTTAAGCATGATTATGGTGTTGAACATTATGGACAAAAGATTTGAACCTTTAACTTTTGCACTTGACCGTAAATTAAGGAGAATGGGGTGGCTCTATGTACTGTGTGCACAGCCGCTAACATGTACTTGGTACTTTAGACAATATTTAAACAGGTACACATGCAAAGGAGCCTTTTGTAAGTGCTGACATTTGAGAGACATGAAAGGTATGCTCTAATTAGTTAATGTATGTATACTTTTATGTAATAATCACTCTTGATGCTTGGGAAGTGAGCAGGCTCATGTTTCTTCCATGATCAATTAACCAGATTCAGTGGGTCCTAAGTAGGTTGAGTTAATCATGCCCATGAATTGAATGGATTACAACAGTTAGAACATCTTTTTTGAACTATGCACAAGCTTTTTCGACAAACATGAAAGGAAAAATGAAAAAAAAAAAAAAAAACTGGGGAAGAAAACACAAACAGCAATGGTTTGAATTGAAACTAGGAAGAAATCAAAATTGAATGAAATTAAGAAGCTTGGTAAAGAGTGACTGACCTATTGCATATAACTTCTGGTAATTCAGAATATCGAATTTTCGCATTCGCTCTCTGTAACTCTTGTAGAATTTGTGAAGCTCTCCCATTTTATCACCGCGATGGACTTTTTCATCAATCTTCCATGGCTTCAAATCATCCATATTTGGGGACTCAGATTCTTCAAGAATGGTAGGCAGACCAGTAGCTCTGACTTTCTTGAGCTCCAGTTTCAACTGTTCTATCAAGTGCTGGTGTTCCCACAATGTTTCTAATGTGTTTGAATCCTCAGAATCATTAGCTGACGAATTTTGACCATTGGGTTTTTCAGAATTTTCTGAACCATCCATTGGCTTTTCATCTTTGCTACTGCCTCCTTCAGGATTGGAGCTGCTGGGGCTGTGATGATCATTCCCAGGCAACGCTTCTAGTTCTCGAAGTTGTTCCATTATGTCTTCATCTTCTTCATCAAAACCATCAGGCTCATAACCAATATCCAAATTCTCAAAGTCAATGCCTTCTAAAGCACCAAGTTCATCTCCTTCCCCAAAATCTGTTTCTGACAGAAACCCATAACTAGGGGAGCCAACAGCTTGACTTCTAGCTGAGAACACATGGCTTGAACCAACAGAATCAGTGTCAGAATCTGAACCAACAAAGTGCTTTTCTGACAAAAAGTTAACTTCATGAGAATCAACTTTCTCACCAGCAGAATCGTTTTCCTGACTCCCCAGTTGCTCTTCATCCGAATGAGGATCTTCCATGACTGATTTCTTCTCTGACTCCTCCTCCTCCTTGCTTTCTCCATCTGCAGAATCTTGAGGACTTTCTTCATGAACAGTTGCTTCACGGGAATTGGAAACGCCTATTGAATTACCAGCATGTACTTCTTTGACAGTAAAGCTTGCAAGTTTTGCTTCTTCCACGAAGCAACTAAGAGTCTCTGCAGCTTTAAATTCATATTTGCTGCTGCTTTTGACTTGTGGTTCTTCTTTGAAATGGCTAAGCTTCTCAGGTATGAACACGTACTCTTCGTTTTCTGCTGGAGAAGCGATATCCAAGACAGGAGAATCACCATTAGCATTCCCTTTATTGCTTCTGCCTAATATTTCTTTAGTCTGGTACTCAAATTTAAATACAAACTTTGGCTCCGGCGTCTCTCTATCATCAATATCATTGAAGTCTGAATCATCCTCACTCTCCCAAATCTCAGAATCAGCTTTCATGGGCATAGCTTCTGGCTCAATACGGCTCGGTACCATTTGATTGCTTTCTTCCGAAAGAGGGCTAGAGCAACAGGAATTGTTCATCAGAGAACTCTCGTCTTTATTGAAACTGCAAGGGGAAGGAAAACAAATCAAGTTAAGGTTACTGAATTTCTGGAAAAAGAAAATCTAAATTATAAAACCCAACTGGGAATTTGAATACCTGAGGAAGATTTTGCTGAAAAATCTGAACATAGTAAGCAAAAGGGCAGAGACAGAGAGCGTGAAAGAGGCAGGAAAAAGAGCCATCTTTCTCCGAAAACCCCAACCAGCAGAACCCATATTCACGAAATCAAAGTGGGTATTTAGCGCATACTTGTTTAGGGCACCCATGAGTGGAATCCATCAATCTCTTTATTTCAGTTTGAAGCAAAAAAACAGAGCAGTGTTCATGCACACTCTGATTTCCACGTTGAATCTTTCAAGCAAGAATGGACTTACCACCTGTAAAATTATCAAAATTCATAGAGTGTTGAAAGGGCTGCATGGAATGCGATCAGAGGAAGTGGAAATCTGACCAAATTAGGGAGATTTAAAAGGGATTGCAAGCAAAAGTTTAGGGGGAGAAAAGAACATGTCAGCGACTTGGGTTGAGCTAATCTATGGTTGCTTAGAGCCTTGGAATTCTGAGGACCGTTATGTGAGCGATTGATGGTATTTACAAGATTATATCGGGTGGGGGGTCTGTTTTGCCTTCTCTTTCCTACACACAGTGGGAGAAACACAGAATTGGGTGAAATTGAAAGCTTACGTTTTTTATATAATGGGTTTTGTTTCAAGCTTGTTGGCAATGGGAAAACAATGTGGTCTACCTCTCTTCTCCTTCTTGTTTTGGGACTCGAATTTGTGTTTAGATTTGCTTGTCAATTCCTAAGTGGAATAGGATTTGTGAAAGAACAACTTAAAAAATAGAAACGCAAGACACCCAATTGCCAGTTTCCACTTTCAACTTTTTATAAGTCGGTTTAGAGACCAACCAAAAATAAAGAAATTTGTAAGTCGGTGGAAACGGGCAAGTACGCACTAAAGAACTTGCTAGTAATTTTATTTCCCATTTTGTTAGAGAAACCAAGACAATGAAGGGAAGAGTCGAAGAAAGAGAAGGAAAGACTAGTTTTTTTTTTCTTCTTCTTCTATTTTTTTTCCTTTCGATTTTGTAGTTGATAAGAAGAAAAAAGGGATTGCAATTCAGAAGAAAGAGAAGGAAAGACTAGTTTTCTTCTTCTTCTTCTATGTTTTTTCCTTTCTATTTTGTAGTTTATGTAGAAAAATAAGTGCATGTTTAGGAGTGCTTCTGGAAGGAGTAAAAACGTTTTCTGACAACCAAAAGTGCTTCTGACTACGTTTGACAGAAAATTTTAGACGTGCTTTTGAATCATGTAAGCGCTTTCTAGAAAAGCACTTGTTATGTACTTCTTCATGAAGCACTTAGATTTTTTTATGAAAATTTCAATATGTTTATAACAAAAGCACTTACTATAAGTGCGGCAGAAACCTCTATGGAACATTAATTAGAAATATTAACAAATTAAAGTTTTGAGGTTTCTAATTAATAAGGTGAGCAGTGGCAGTGAGGAAAAAAGTAACACAAATGAGAAAAACATTTTCTGTGCTCAAGTTAATTTGCGTATAAATTAAGTTAAAACTTAAAATATATGGTACAAGCAAGCAATCTAGTAATCTACATCAACCAAAACATATAAGTCAAGCCACACACACGGCTCATTTGTTGGCTTTGTAATATTATACGTCTGTATATCAGTGTATCTATCTTTACTTCAAGTTTCTTTATATTATTTATCAAGAAAATTTCAAAATTCATACAAATATTATTAATAATATAGACACTGATATTGGAAAAAATATGCCAATTAATAATAATATGTAGGATTATGGTCCAAATTCTAGTCCTTCTCCTTTTCATCCACCCAAGATGAAATGATTAAGAGCCGATAAAACCAGTATAAGTTTTCTCTACGCTCGAGAATACTTGAATTCCTTTCTCCCATTTTCAATATTTGCTTGAACCAAGGCAATTCCTCTTTAAATGAATATTGATTAGTGTGTAACCACATTTAAACCAAGTATAAGACAATTTCAGATACTTTTTCGATTCCGATGGTTCAAGTTAGAATGCTCGAGTTTAGGATTATGATATTATCCTTTTGTATTATAACACGTGTATGTATTAATAATTAGTATGATGTTGTTGAGACCGTATGAACTGTGAAGTATATAAAAATAAAAAATTAACAAACCCAAAATAACTAAATTGGATCACGCGAAGAAAATAACGAAACCGAGAATTTGACAGATTAGCAGATGCAATGCAATTACAATATGTTATGTATAGCCGCACTCCTAATAGCGTGTGGGGCAATGGCAACGGCAATGGTATTGGTATTTTGTGTCACACGCATTACAGTTCTTCATATAATGAATTAAGCATGACATACACAAAGTCAAAAAAATGAATTTAAGCTCTATATATTATTCATATATTCGAGGTTTCTTAAGGGCCATATTTTCTTACCTTCCCATTGCAGAAAATTCCTTCTTTCCTTTTAAAACTCATCATCGTCAGCATGAGAGGGAGATGGAGACGCAAAAGAAAAACGTTGTGCCTCGTTTTCTGGTGCAAGAAGAAGACGACGACCCCTCCAAATACTCTTGACCTTTTTTCAATGAAGTTTCTAACGTTTTCGAGAAGCAAACAAAAGCCGACCCCCAACCCCCGCTAGTCAAAATAATCCTTCTTCTAGAGACTAGCTCGTGAGAGTCGTATTCCTGAGATGTTTCATGGTGGTGGTGGTCTAGATAAGATTGTCGTATGTATCTGTGCTCAGATTATATACGGAAATAAATCATTTTTAATCTTGTGCATTTTCTACAATGCCAGATTAAGAATTTTTTAAATGAGCAAATGGGTACCATCGTATCCGAGAAATATCACTAGATGCCAAATCTAGGATATCTTACGATTGTTACCAAATATGTCCATTTGGTATTGTGTTTTTCCATCCGCAGCAGGGCCGGTCCTGAGTTTTCAAAGGTTCAGGGCAAAAATCTAAAGTGTGCTCTACACATATTAATTACTAATACTAGTATACTTCTTGTTTTATCAACTAAGCATTGGATTTTTTGAGAAAGTATTTATTCGAAAATATTTTTAGACTTTGAGCAATGTCTTCCATATTCCTAAATAATGAAAATAAATGTCCAACTATGGATGTCATACCAGTGAATCAAAGAATGTCAAAAATGCAAGTCAAGCCAATATAAAAGAATTTCTTTTAAAACTCTCATCAGGGATCCTTTGTTCCAAAATTTCAGATTCATCTCAATATCCTATTCATAAAAATTATGGAAAAATATTGAATCAATTTATAATAATATAATATGACACTTATTATAATAAAAAAATTTGGGGCCCCCATGAATAATGGGCCCAGGGCAGTCGCACTAACTGCCCCTAGCCAGGGCCGGGATTGAGTTTAGGCAAGGTATGGTGTGGTTGGTAAATTGTTATCTTCTTCCATTGAGGGATCCCTCAAATAAGCTTATTTGAGGGATCCCTCAATAAAAGAGAACTGTATATATATATATATATACAGTTCTATTCTATTGAGGGATCCCTCAAATAAGCTTATTTGAGGGATCCCTCAATAAAAGAGAACTGTATATATATATATATATATATATACAGTTCTCTTTTATTGAGGGATCCCTCAAATAAGCTTATTTGAGGGATCCCTCAATAAAAGAGAACTGTATATATATATATATATATACAGTTCTCTTTTATTGAGGGATCCCTCAAATAAGCTTATTTGAGGGATCCCTCAATAAAAGAGAACTGTATATATATATATATATATATATATATATATAGTTGAGGCAAAGAAGAGAAATATATCTCCCTTATTTTCTTGAAATTTTTTAGAAGGCAACCAACGGCCCATTTAGCCTTACGGACCAAAATTAATTATTTTCCAGCATATACCCTTGGGCCCATATTATTATTATTTATTTCTCCCCACTTTAGATTGGGTTCGTAATAAGATCGAGCCGTAGTGATACTGTTCTGAGATTGGGCTCATACGGGCTGCTTAAATCAAGTCATGGAGCAAAGAAAATTAAAATGAGCCTATTGCACCAAAAGAAAGTCTAAATTACCTTATTTTGAAAAAAAATGCTATAAATAACTTTTCACTAATAAAAAGAAAATTTTGTTGAAGAAAGGTTCTTCGTTAGGTTAAAGAAGACTAACTCGTTTGAGAGTGTTTTTCTCGAAAGTACTTTTGCTCATAAGTGTTTTTAGTAAAAGTTCCCTTATCATAAAGATGTTAAATTTTTTATAAGAAATCCAAGTGCTTAGAAAACCACTTGGGAGTGCTTCATGTAGAAGCATATAGCAGTTGCTTCTCCAGAAAGTACTTTTATGCACTTCTAAACTTTTATGTCAAACAATGTTAGAAGTGCTTTTGGTTGTAAGAAAAAGTTTTTGGTTAAAAAATGTTTTTATTCCCAAACCGGCCAAGTACATAAGTTTTATGGTTAATATAAATGAAAATTAATTTCTTCATCGAAGGACATGAGTTTTCTTGTTAATATAAATGAAAACTAATTTATCCAACGAAATATTTGCAGATTCACAATGAGACTAGTACATACAATTGTCCCTACCCCTATCATGGCACATGAAATTGGTCAAATGTTTTTAACATGGTTGATATAAGGACAAGATGTTTGACAAACGACATGATATAACGTGGCAGTTTCTTCTTTTTTCAAAAAGAAAATTCATGAATCTGCGGCTGAATTCCTCTGCTATAACTAACGCTCCATCAAGATTTCCATACCTATAAGTCGTGCCTTATTCTATATATTCACACATTACAGTCGGCAATGCATATACCAATTTGGAATTGCAGAGTTCAGTCGACTTGAATTATCTACTCTTATACCAATCATAGTTGGGGAAGTTGATGAGCACAACATCAAGTTCAATGAACAAATATTAATTGAAAGTTGGAGCTCATATACATCCACCAAAATATCATATAACTATATAATATATAAGCCAAGTCATCTTCATCTTTAATTTCGGACGTGTGAGATGTTCAACGGGTTTTTTTTTATAAAAAAATTCATACAACTAAATTGGCTTATATATATATATATAATTCTGGGAAAGAATTATGCACATGATGATCCTTCAGTACTCACTACTTGGACACTTCCGATCATGGAATAGAGTATGGGCATTTTATCGAAAAAATAAATATCAAAGTATGGACATATGTTCCAGTCAACGTGTGCTCGTAGAACCAGCTTCTCTAGTCGACAAAATAAAATTATAATTAGGTCCCAAAAAATAAAACAAATGGAAATGAAGAGGAAACCACTACTAGATGGGCAGTGGACGCGCACTATATGGCCCTATAAAATCTTTGGAATGATTAATGATTTTTTTTATTTTATAGTACAAGCGATAGTCTAAATTAGAGAGGAGAATGATTTTTCACACATACACAACTATAATGTCATAGGAATTTGAACCTGAGACCTTTGATATGCAAGTCAAGGCCCTAGCTATGAAGGAGCGTGGCCAACCCAAACAGATCGATCTTTCTCCGTTAACCCGAACTGAGCCAAGGAGTGTGCCACTCTATTAATTACCTTGTTTGGGCTGGAAGATCACATATCCCCCCCATTCAGCTGCATCACCAACTTCTTAATATCTATCACCAGATCGATTGCCCAGGTTGCTCCAGATATCACCATCTCCATTCAAAAGTGTATGGGAAGTTACATAGGCTCCTTGTATCATAACTTAATGAATTACAACAAACATTCATGCTTCACGCTACATCAACAGAATATATATACTATAATATACTATACACATCAT